AGGAGGGGGAGGAGGAGGAGGAGGTGCAGGAGGAGGAGGCGGAGGAGGAGGAGGAGGAAGACAAGTATCAAGCATACGCATACGCAGACTCATTCTAAGACTCCCAATAATAATAATCATACGGATAATATCGTTACTCTTCATATTCAGAACGTACTAATAATACGACGCCGAATCATACTACGAGTAAGAAGGAAACGAAGGCAACTACTAATATTAACAGTTATATTACTTATATTAAGTATGAGCAACTATCATATTAAGCAGAATACGACTACTACATACACTATGTATACAACTATTAACAATACGACTGATGTTACGAATAAGCAGAAACCTACGAAGCATGCTAACACTACTAAAAGCTACACTAATAATACGAACACCACCACTCAGACTAACAATACAATTAATACTACGACGAAGACGACGATACTATTATTAATCATACGGTTCATAATCATATAATGAGACTGATACTATTAATACTACCGCTAACACTACTAATGCTACTCGTACTAACAGCGATCTGACCAATACTGCTGGTACTATTAAGAGTACTACTACTACTACTACTAATACTATTACTACTAATACTGCACTACTAACACTGGTATTTCTATCACTAACGATATGATTAATACTATTGAACTTGCGGATAACATTATACTAGCACGAACAGCATTATTACAATAATGTAGGAATAATATTCTAGTAGTACTAATAATATGAGTATGCGTACTACTATTAATAGTAGTAGTACAACTGATCATACTACCACCATCAATTAATTTTCATAATCGTAGTAATACGATACTAATTCTAATAATACCAATGAGAATACGATTATGAATGCTAACAATACTGCTACTTCTAATATTAAAGTTACTAAGAAGAAGAGGAGGAGGAAGAGGAGGAGGAGGACGAGGAGGAGCGGAGGAGGCGGAGGAGGAGGAGGAGGATGATGAGGAGGAGGAGGAGGAGGGGAGGAGGAGAATAGGGAGGTATGAGGAGCAGAACATAAGCAGAGGAGGAGGAGGAGGAGGAGAGGAGAGGAGGAGGAGGGAGGAAGAGGAGGGAGGGAGGAGGAGTGGAGAAGCAGGATGAGCGAGGAGGAGAGGAGGACAGGGGAGGAGGAGGAGGAGGAGAGGAATAGGAGGAGGAAGGGGGGGGACAGGAGTATGAGGGGGAGGATGGATTAGGAAGAGGAGGAGGAGGATGCGGAGGAGGAGGAGGAGGAGGAGGAGGAGGAGGAGGAGGAGGAGGAGGAGGAGGAGAGGAGGAGGAGGAAGCAGGAGGAGGAGGAGGAGGACGAGGAGGAGGCAGGAGGAGGAGGAGGAGGAGGAGGAGGAGGAGGACCCCTCAGTGCAGCCGCACTGGTCCTGGCCGGGCCGATCCTGGCCCCAGTTCGGGGAGTGCTCGCCCGCATCTGAGCAAGCCAGGGGGTCGTCCGCCTAGGGCTGGCCTGGACGGGAGGGGTGCTGGCGCTTGGCCAGGCATCCTTGCGCCGCGAGCAGACGACGGCCACGCGCAGAGCGGGGCAGCAGTGGGAGGGGAAGGCTTCTTGCGAGGAGGCTGCTCCTTAGAAGGTGCCGGCCTTATCTATACAGTTAAAGCCCATGCCAAGCAACACCCTGTCTGCCGCCAGGGTGCCCTGCGTTCTTGGGTCTTTGGGTCTCGATGGTTTTACTATCTATCATGGAAAGCGTGACATTGTCACACCAAAAATCAATGGACGTCCTGGGGTCTCGGGTTGGGTTTCTTGTAGAAGGTTTCTTGTGGTCGAGCTCCTACTGTAGATGTAGGCGCCCGCGCCTTCTAAGAAGCAGCCTCCTTCTTAGCCCCCCTCTCCCTATCCGCTTGTGCGAGGCACGACAAAAATCGGGACGGGAGGTTTTTGCTAATTTTCAGCCTCTAGTGGGGGGCCCTTGCAGGTGCAGGTCTTGAGACCCGTTGGGCTTTCCGGATGATCGTTTTTTTTTTTTTTTTTTTTTTTTTTTTTTTTCTCCCCCTTCTCTCTCTCTCTCTCTTTCTCTCTCTTTCTCTCGCTCTCTGTCGGCGCCGCGTCCGATCCATTTTTGTGTGCGACTGTTTGTGTTTTATGTATGTTCACGCTCTGGACAGTTTACTTCTTGTGAGGGAGTGAGTGAGTGAGTGAACCCGGGCCCTTACTGGGCTCCAGAACCGTCAAAGAACGGCTCGGGAAGGAAAACCAGCCCTGGGGAAGTAGTCGTGACACGTGACCTCTGGGGAGTTACGCTCACGACGTCGGAGGTCCGGGTAGGTGGCGCCTCCCCCCCGTGAAGGATCGTGGTCAATTCTGTTCTGCACGCCCGCGAGTGGATTGCGTCGATGGTCGGCACGTACCTGGCGGAGTACTGCGTGGACAAGAAGAGGAGTGACCCGAACTGGATGGCCGGGATGGAGCTCGTCATCGTTCCCATTGTCAACCCTGACGGGTTCGTTTACTCCCAAACTTCGAATGCGATGTGGAGGAAGAACATGGCCCCGAACGCGGAGTCTTCTTGCCGAGGTGTCGACCTGAACCGCAACTGGCCCAAGGACTGGAACGGCGGCGAGTCGACATCCACGAACCCGTGCAGCGACGTCTATGTGGGCCCTTCGTCTGCCTCGGAGCCTGAGACGCAGGCACTCGGGGCGCTGCTGGCCGAAGCCCCTGTGAATCTGCACTTGGACATCCACTCCTACGGAGAGATGATCCTGGGCCCCTGGTCGTACACGAGCGCTGATCATCCCGACAAGGCCACGATCGACGCCATTGGAATGGCCATGCAAAGCGCCATACAGAGCGTCAACGGCAAGTCATACCTATACGGCACCGGCGACGCGGGTGGAGCGCTCTACCTCGCCTCTGGCGTTGCGCCCGACTTCTCCACCGACCTGGGCGCATACGGCTACACGATCGAACTGCCGCCTGCCAGCGCATGGGGCAGTGCTGGCTTCCAGCCCGCCACCTCGGAGATACTCCCGGCGTGCACCGAGATCTTCGAGGCCGTCAACGCGATGGTGGAGTGGTTCAAGGTTCGGGGGTGGGTAGACCTCCTACCCTGACACGTCGATTAAGGAATTTGCCGTTTTCGGTTCGCGAGAGGGCGTCGCGGCCGTCATTTTTGCGGGTCCAGGTCCGTCGGTCTCGGTCCCAGGCCGCTTTCACTAAGGGGAGGTTTACTAAAGGGAGGTTTGTCCACCGCCGAAAGGTCCAGGAGCCCACTCCCGCTCCGCCGCCCGTGCCGACAGCAAGCTCCGGCCCAACGCCAGTGCCACCGCCGACGCCGCCGGCGCCAGCGTGCGGCGAGAAGGGCCCGGACCACACTCCGTGGGATGCGCGCCGCGGCGAGCGCATCGTGGGGGGGCAGGACGCCACGCCTTGCGAGTGGAAGTGGCAGGTTTCCCTCTCGTCCTAGTCAAGAGGCTTACGCCTTTCAGCCGACCCCCAGAAGAGGTGAAGTACGATTTCCGATTTCGTTTGTGTTGTTTTCCGCTTCCCGTCATGCTGCCCGCGTGTAGTTGTTGTGCCAGTTTGCTCTCCTCTTCCTCCGCCTCTGTTGCGGGGCTTCTTGGGGCTCTCTTGCTTGGAGACTTCGGGGGCCGGCTCTTGGGGACCTCGCTCCTGGTGGATCTTTTGGTCCCTCTGAGGGTTTCTCGGGAGCCTTTTGGGGGTATCTTGGGCGCCTTTGGCGCCATCTTGTGAGGGAGGGCTCCTTGGGCTCCGCGAGTTCCCCCTCTGAGGCTTCTCTGTGGGGGTCTCTTGAGGGCCTTTTTGGTCATCTTCTTGAGGGTTTCCTTGGGCAGTCTTGGAGCCCTCTTGGGCCCTCTCCAGGCCCTCTTGGGGGCCTCTTCGGCCGTCTTGGACTGGTGTGGGGGGCTTCTCGGGTCGTCTCGGGCTTTCAGAACCCCGAAAAGGCGAGAGTGCAACAATCATACGAACACCGATGGGAAGCATCTGATGTTTTCCTTGAGGCCGTCTTGAGGGTCCTCTTGGGGCTCTCTTTGGGCGTCTTCGGGGCCCCTTGGGCCGTCCTGAGGCCATCTCGGATGTTCTGGAGGCCTCTCCGGAGCCCTTCTTGAGCCGTCTTAGAGGGCATCCTGGGAATCTTGGAGGCCGCTGTGGGCTTGGTGGCTCCGAGGGCCCAGGAGGTGCGCCGGTGAGCTCGTCGACGACCTCCTTACCTATAACACAAATTGGGGTCTCAGAGGAGAATGAAAGGGCGGTTGGGGTGGCCAAATGTTTCACACGCCGTCTCACCCCCCGCAGGCGGGGGGCGGCGGATTATGGCCACTTCTGCGGCGGAACGCTCATCGCCCCGAACTGGGTCCTGACAGCTGCCCACTGTGTGGGGGGTTCTTTCTCCATCGTGGCGGGCAGTCACAGCAAGTCCACAACTGATGCGACCGAGGAGGTACTACAGGTGCAGGAAGTGTTCTCGCATCCAGACTATGACAGCTCGACGATGCGATACGATTTTGCCCTGGTGGAGCTGGTCGATGCAGCGTCCTCGAATGAATGCATTGGGGTAGCATGCTTGCCGAGTGAGGATGTCGCTGATGGCGAGGAGTGCTTCATCACCGGCTGGGGGACCCTCTCGTCTGGAGGGTCCTCCCCTGACTTGATGCAGGAGGCGCAGGTGAGTATCGTCAGCAACTCAGACTGCGGTGCTGCATATGGCAACGGGATGATCACCGATGACATGTTGGGCGCCCAGGCGTCAACATCGCTGGGGACGTCACCTGACGCCTGGCAAGGGGACAGCGTGGCCGCTTTCTGTGCCTCTGGCGGTGCTGCTTATGTCTTCACGGGCCACGTCTTGGGGATACGTTGAGCCAGGAGCATACCACTGGAGTGTGGTCTCGGGTCAGCTACTACGCACTGATCGACGAGGTTTGGGGTGACCGGGTCCCCGACTCCAGCGCCTCCGCCGACTCCAGCACCCCCTCCAACGCCTGCTCCTCAGCACATGTGGGCGGCCGTTGTCGGCCAGTGCACTCTGGATGGCAGCTGCGTGCAGAGCGCGAACTATCCACAGAACTACGCTGCAAACCAGGAGTGCACGGTTGAGATCGAAGAGGCGAATGCGGCACCGATCCTCGTTGAGAGCTTCGATGTAGAGGCGTACTACGACTACCTCATGGTCAACGGGAATATGCATTCTGGAACTTCGGGTCCCGACGGGGTCATCCCGACGGGGAGTATGTTTTGGTCGTCCGATTTCACCGTGCAGAGAAGCGGGTGGAGATTGTGCATGCCAACTTTGGCACCTGCGCCGCCACCTACGCCAGCGCCGCCATCGACGCCAGCGCCGACGGACGCAGCCACGGCCGCGCCGACTGCAGCACCGACAGCAGCACCGACGGCTGCACCAACAGCTGCACCCACAGGGGGAGCCCCGACGGCTTCACCAACAGCGGCATCAACAGCTGCACCGACTGCGGCACCAACGACGGCACCGAGTGCGCCTCCACCGACGCCAGCGCCGATGTGCGGCGAAAAGGGCCCTGACCACACTCCCTGGGATACGCGTCGCGGTGAGCGCATCGTGGGGGGGCAAGACGCCACGCCGTGCGAGTGGAAGTGGCAGGTTTCCCTCTCGTCCTAGTCAAGAGGCTTACGCCTTTCAGCCGACACCCAGAAGAGGTGAAGTGCGATTTCCGATTTCGTTTGTGTTGTTTTCCGCTTCCCGTCATGCTGCCTGCGTGTAGTTGTTGTGCCAGTTTGCCCTCCTCTTCCTCTGCCTCTGTTGCGGGGCTTCTTGGGGCTCTCTTGCTTGGAGACTTCGGGGGCCGGCTCTTGGGGACCTCGCTCCTGGTGAATTTTTTGGTCCCTCTGAGGGCTTCTCGGGGGCCTCTTGGGGGTCTTTTGGGGGTATCTTGGGCGCCTCTGGCGCCATTTTGTTAGGGAGTGCTCCTGGGGCTTCGCGAGTTCCCCCCCTGAGGCTTCTCTGGCCCCTCTGGGGGTCTCTTGAGGGCCTTTATGGTCATCTTCTGGAGGGTTTCCTTGGGCAGTCTTGGAGCCCTCTTGGGCCTCCAGGCCCTCTTGGAGGCCTCTTCGGCCGTCTTGGACTGGTGTGGGGGGCTTCTCGGGTCGTCTCGGGCTTTCAGAACCCCGAAAAGGCGAGAGTGCAACAATCATACGAACACCGATGGGAAGCGTCTGATGTTTTCCTTGAGGCCGTCTTGAGGGTCCTCTTGGGGCTCTCTTTGGGCGTCTTCGGGGCCCCTTGGGCCGTCCTGAGGCCATCTCGGATGTTCTGGAGGCCTCTCCGGAGCCCTTCTTGAGCCGTCTTAGAGGGCCTCCTGGGAATCTTGGAGGCCGCTGTGGGTTTGGTGGCTCCGCGCTGGTGAGCTCGTCGACCTCCTTCCCTCTAACGCGAGTTTGGGTCTCAGAGGAGGATGAAAGGGGGATTGGTGTAGCCAAATGTCTCACACGCCGTCTCACCCCCCGCAGGCGGGGGGCGGCGGATTATGGCCACTTCTGCGGCGGAACGCTCATCGCCCCGAACTGGGTCCTGACAGCTGCGCACTGTGTGGGGGGTTCTTTCTCCATCGTGGCGGGCAGTCACAGCAAGTCCACAACTGATGCGACCGAGGAGGTACTACAGGTGCAGGAAGTGTTCTCGCATCCAGACTATGACAGCTCGACGATGCGATACGATTTTGCCCTGGTGGAGCTGGTCGATGCAGCGTCTTTGAATGAATGCATTGGGGTAGCATGCTTGCCGAGTGAGGATGTCGCTGATGGCGAGGAGTGCTTCATCACCGGCTGGGGGACCCTCTCGTCTGGAGGGTCCTCCCCTGACTTGATGCAGGAGGCGCAGGTGAGTATCGTCAGCAACTCAGACTGCGGTGCTGCATATGGCAACGGGATGATCACCGATGACATGTTGTGCGCCCAGGGCGTCAACAGCGCTGGGGACGTCACCGACGCCTGCCAAGGGGACAGCGGTGGGCCGCTCGTCTGTGCCTCCGGCGGTGCTGCTTATGTCTTGCACGGGGCCACGTCTTGGGGCTACGGTTGCGCCATGGAGCAGTACCCTGGAGTGTGGTCTCGGGTCAGCTACGTACGCGACTGGATCGACGAGGTTGTGGGGGGGGTGACTGGGTCCCCGACTCCAGCGCCTCCGCCGACTCCAGCACCCCCTCCAACGCCTGCTCCTCAGCACATGTGGGCGGCCGTTGTCGGCCAGTGCACTCTGGATGGCAACTGCGTGCAGAGCGCGAACTATCCACAGAACTACGCTGCAAACCAGGAGTGCACGGTTGAGATCGAAGAGGCGAATGCGGCACCGATCATCGTTGAGAGCTTCGATGTAGAGGCGTACTACGACTACCTCATGGTCAACGGGAATATGCATTCTGGAACGTCGGGTCCCGACGGGGTCATCCCGACGGGGAGTATGTTTTGGTCGTCCGATTTCACCGTGCAGAGAAGCGGGTGGAGATTGTGCATGCCAACTTTGGCACCTGCGCCGCCACCTACGCCAGCGCCACCATCGACGCCAGCGCCGACGGACGCAGCCACGGCCGCGCCGACTGCAGCACCGACAGCAGCACCGACGGCTGCACCAACAGCTGCACCGACAGGGGGAGCCCCGACGGCTTCACCAACAGCGGCATCAACAGCTGCACCGACTGCGGCACCAACGACGGCACCGAGTGCGCCTCCACCGACGCCAGCGCCGATGTGCGGCGAAAAGGGCCCTGACCACACTCCCTGGGATACGCGTCGCGGCGAGCGCATCGTGGGGGGGCAAGACGCCACGCCGTGCGAGTGGAAGTGGCAGGTTTCCCTCTCGTCCTAGTCAAGAGGCTTACGCCTTTCAGCCGACACCCAGAAGAGGTGAATTGCGATTTCCGATTTCGTTTGTGTTGTTTGCCGCTTCCCGTCATGCTGCCTGCGTGTAGTTGTTGTGCCAGTTTGCCCTCCTCTTCCTCTGCCTCTGTTGCGGGGCTTCTTGGGGCTCTCTTGGGGCTCTCTTGCTTGGAGACTTCGGGGGCCGGCTCTTGGGGACCTCGCTCCTGGTGGATCTTTTGGTCCCTCTGAGGGCTTCTCGGGGGCCTCTTGGGGGTCTTTTGGGCGGTATCTTGGGCGCCTTTGGTGCCATCTTGTGATGGAGGGCTGCTGGTGCTCCGCGAGTTTCCCCCTCTGAGGCTTCTCTGGCCCCTCTGGGGTCTCCTGAGGGCCTTTATGGTCATCTTCTTGAGGGTTTCCTTGGGCAGTCTCGGAGCCCTCTTGGGCCCTCTCCAGGCCCTCTTGGGGGCCTCTTCGGCCGTCTTGGACTGGTGTGGGGGGCTTCTCGGGTCGTCTCGGGCTTTCAGAACCCCGAAATGGCGAGAGTGCAACAATCATACACAAAAACCGATGAGAAGCATTTGATTTTTGCCTGGAGGCCGTCTTGAGGGTCCTCTTGGGCTTTGGGCGTCTTCGGGGCCCCTTGGGCCGTCCTGAGGCCATCTCGGATGTTCTGGAGGCTTCTTCGGAGCCCTTCTTGAGCCGTCTTAGAGGGCCTCCTGGGAATCTTGGAGGCCGCTGTGGGCTTGGTGGCTCCGAGGGTCCAGGAGGTGCGCTGGTGAGCTCGTCGACCTCCTTCCCTCTGACACGAGTTTGGGTCTCAGAGGAGGATGAAAGGGGGGTTGGGGTAGCCAAATGTCTCACACGCCGTCTCACCCCCCGCAGGCGGGGGGCGGCGGATTATGGTCACTTCTGCGGCGGAACGCTCATCGCCCCGAACTGGGTCCTGACAGCTGCCCACTGTGTGGGGGGTTCTTTCTCCATCGTGGCGGGCAGTCACAGCAAGTCCACAACTGATGCGACCGAGGAGGTACTACAGGTGCAGGAAGTGTTCTCGCATCCAGACTATGACAGCTCGACGATGCGATACGATTTTGCCCTGGTGGAGCTGGTCGATGCAGCGTCCTTGAATGAATGCATTGGGGTAGCATGCTTGCCGAGTGAGGATGTCGCTGATGGCGAGGAGTGCTTCATCACCGGCTGGGGGACCCTCTCGTCTGGAGGGTCCTCCCCTGACTTGATGCAGGAGGCGCAGGTGAGTATCGTCAGCAACTCAGACTGCGGTGCTGCATATGGCAACGGGATGATCACCGATGACATGTTGTGCGCCCAGGGCGTCAACAGCGCTGGGGACGTCACCGACGCCTGCCAAGGGGACAGCGGTGGGCCGCTCGTCTGTGCCTCCGGCGGTGCTGCTTATGTCTTGCACGGGGCCACGTCTTGGGGCTACGGTTGCGCTATGGAGCAGTACCCTGGAGTGTGGTCTCGGGTCAGCTACGTACGCGACTGGATCGACGAGGTTGTGGGGGGGGTGACTGGGTCCCCGACTCCAGCGCCTCCGCCGACTCCAGCACCCCCTCCAACGCCTGCTCCTCAGCACATGTGGGCGGCCGTTGTCGGCCAGTGCACTCTGGATGGCAACTGCGTGCAGAGCGCGAACTATCCACAGAACTACGCTGCAAACCAGGAGTGCACGGTTGAGATCGAAGAGGCGAACGCGGCACCGATCATCGTTGAGAGCTTCGATGTAGAGGCGTACTACGACTACCTCATGGTCAACGGGAATGTGCATTCTGGAACGTCGGGTCCCGACGGGGTCATCCCGACGGGGAGTATGTTTTGGTCGTCCGATTTCACCGTGCAGAGAAGCGGGTGGAGATTGTGCATGCCAACTTTGGCACCTGCGCCGCCACCTACGCCAGCGCCACCATCGACGCCAGCGCCGACGGACGCAGCCACGGCCGCGCCGACTGCAGCACCGACAGCAGCACCGACGGCTGCACCAACAGCTGCACCGACAGGGGGAGCCCCGACGGCTTCACCAACAGCGGCATCAACAGCTGCACCGACTGCGACACCAACGACGGCACCGAGTGCGCCTCCACCGACGCCAGCGCCGATGTGCGGCGAAAAGGGCCCTGACCACACTCCCTGGGATACGCGTCGCGGCGAGCGCATCGTGGGGGGGCAAGACGCCACGCCGTGCGAGTGGAAGTGGCAGGTTTCCCTCTCGTCCTAGTCAAGAGGCTTACGCCTTTCAGCCGACACCTAGAAGAGGTGAAGTGCGATTTCCGATTTCGTTTGTGTTGTTTGCCGCTTCCCGTCATGCTGCCTGCGTGTAGTTGTTGTGCCAGTTTGCCCTCCTCTTCCTCTGCCTCTGTTGCGGGGCTTCTTGGGGCTCTCTTGGGGCTCTCTTGCTTGGAGACTTCGGGGGCCGGCTCTTGGGGACCTCGCTCCTGGTGAATCTTTTGGTCCCTCTGAGGGCTTCTCGGGGGCCTCTTGGGGGTCTTTTGGGGGTATCTTGGGCGCCTTTGGCGCCATCTTGTTAGGGAGTGCTCCTGGGGCTTCGCGAATTCCCCCCCTGAGGCTTCTCTGGCCCCTCTGGGGGTCTCTTGAGGGCCTTTATGGTCATCTTCTGGAGGGTTTCCTTGGGCAGTCGTGGAGCCCTCTTGGGCCCTCTCCAGGCCCTCTTGGGGGCCTCTTCGGCCGTCTTGGACTGGTGTGGGGGGCTTCTCGGGTCGTCTCGGGCTTTCAGAACCCCGAAATGGCGAGAGTGCAACAATCATACGAACACCGATGGGAAGCATCTGATGTTTTCCTTGAGGCCGTCTTGAGGGTCCTCTTGGGGCTCTCTTTGGGCGTCTTCGGGGCCCCTTGGGCCGTCCTGAGGCCATCTCGGATGTTCTGGAGGCCTCTCCGGAGCCCTTCTTGAGCCGTCTTAGAGGGCCTCCTGGGAATCTTGGAGGCTGCTGTGGGTTTGGTGGCTCCGAGGGCCCGGGAGGTGCGCTGGTGAGCTCGTCGACCTCCTTCCCTCTAACGCGAGTTTGGGTCTCAGAGGAGGATGAAAGGGCGGTTGGGGTGGCCAAATGTCTCACACGCCGTCTCACCCCCCGCAGGCGGGGGGCGGCGGATTATGGCCACTTCTGCGGCGGAACGCTCATCGCCCCGAACTGGGTCCTGACAGCTGCCCACTGTGTGGGGGGTTCTTTCTCCATCGTGGCGGGCAGTCACAGCAAGTCCACAACTGATACGACCGAGGAGGTACTACAGGTGCGGGAAGTGTTCTCGCATCCAGACTATGACAGCTCGACGATGCGATACGATTTTGCCCTGGTGGAGCTGGTCGATGCAGCGTCCTTGAATGAATGCATTGGGGTAGCATGCTTGCCGAGTGAGGATGTCGCTGATGGCGAGGAGTGCTTCATCACCGGCTGGGGGACCCTCTCGTCTGGAGGGTCCTCCCCTGACTTGATGCAGGAGGCGCAGGTGAGTATCGTCAGCAACTCAGACTGCGGTGCTGCATATGGCAACGGCATGATCACCGATGACATGTTGTGCGCCCAGGGCGTCAACAGCGCTGGGGACGTCACCGACGCCTGCCAAGGGGACAGCGGTGGGCCGCTCGTCTGTGCCTCTGGCGGTGCTGCTTATGTCTTGCACGGGGCCACGTCTTGGGGCTACGGTTGCGCCATGGAGCAGTACCCTGGAGTGTGGTCTCGGGTCAGCTACGTACGCGACTGGATCGACGAGGTTGTGGGGGTGACCGGGTCCCCGACTCCAGCGCCTCCGCCGACTCCAGCACCCCCTCCAACGCCTGCTCCTCAGCACATGTGGGCGGCCGTTGTCGGCCAGTGCACTCTGGATGGCAACTGCGTGCAGAGCGCGAACTATCCACAGAACTACGCTGCAAACCAGGAGTGCACGGTTGAGATCGAAGAGGCGAACGCGGCACCGATCATCGTTGAGAGCTTCGATGTAGAGGCGTACTACGACTACCTCATGGTCAACGGGAATATGCATTCTGGAACGTCGGGTCCCGATGGGGTCATCCCGACGGGGAGTATGTTTTGGTCGTCCGATTTCACCGTGCAGAGAAGCGGGTGGAGATTGTGCATGCCAACTTTGGCACCTGCGCCGCCACCTACGCCAGCGCCGCCATCGACGCCAGCGCCGACGGAAGCAGCCACGGCCGCGCCGACTGCAGCACCGACAGCAGCACCGACGGCTGCACCGACAGCTGCACCGACAGGGGGAGCCCCGACGGCTTCACCAACAGCGGCATCAACAGCTGCACCGACTGCGGCACCAACGACGGCACCGAGTGCGCCTCCACCGACGCCAGCGCCGATATGCGGCGAAAAGGGCCCTGACCACACTCCCTGGGATACGCGTCGCGGCGAGCGCATCGTGGGGGGGCAAGACGCCACGCCGTGCGAGTGGAAGTGGCAGGTTTCCCTCTCGTCCTAGTCAAGAGGCTTACGCCTTTCAGCCGACACCTAGAAGAGGTGAAGTGCGATTTCCGATTTCGTTTGTGTTGTTTGCCGCTTCCCGTCATGCTGCCTGCGTGTAGTTGTTGTGCCAGTTTGCCCTCCTCTTCCTCTGCCTCTGTTGCGGGGCTTCTTGGGGCTCTCTTGCTTGGAGACTTCGGGGGCCGGCTCTTGGGGACCTCGCTCCTGGTGAATCTTTTGGTCCCTCTGAGGGCTTCTCGGGGGCCTCTTGGGGGTCTTTTGGGGGGTATCTTGGGCGCCTTTGGCGCCATTTTGTTAGGGAGTGCTCCTGGGGCTTCGCGAGTTCCCCTGAGGCTTCTCTGGCCCCTCTGGGGGTCTCGTGAGGGCCTTTATGGTCATCTTCTTGAGGGTTTCCTTGGGCAGTCTTGGAGCCCTCTTGGGTCCTCTCCAGGCCCTCTTGGGGGCGACTTCGGCCGTCTTGGACTGGTGTGGGGGGCTTCTCGGGTCGTCTCGGGCTTTCAGAACCCCGAAATGGCGAGAGTGCAACAATCATACGAACACCGATGGGAAGCATCTGATGTTTTCCTTGAGGCCGTCTTGAGGGTCCTCTTGGGGCTCTCTTTGGGCGTCTTCGGGGCCCCTTGGGCCGTCCTGAGGCCATCTCGGATGTTCTGGAGGCCTCTCCGGAGCCCTTCTTGAGCTGTCTTAGAGGGCATCCTGGGAATCTTGGAGGCCGCTGTGGGTTTGGTGGCTCCGCGCTGGTGAGCTCGTCGACCTCCTTCCCTCTAACGCGAGTTTGGGTTTCAGAGGAGGATGAAAGGGCGGTTGGGGTGGCCAAATGTCTCACACGCCGTCTCACCCCCCGCAGGCGGGGGGCGGCGGATTATGGCCACTTCTGCGGCGGAACGCTCATCGCCCCGAACTGGGTCCTGACAGCTGCCCACTGTGTGGGGGGTTCTTTCTCCATCGTGGCGGGCAGTCACAGCAAGTCCACAACTGATGCGACCGAGGAGGTACTACAGGTGCAGGAAGTGTTCTCGCATCCAGACTATGACAGCTCGACGATGCGATACGATTTTGCCCTGGTGGAGCTGGTCGATGCAGCGTCCTTGAATGAATGCATTGGGGTAGCATGCTTGCCGAGTGAGGATGTCGCTGATGGCGAGGAGTGCTTCATCACCGGCTGGGGGACCCTCTCGTCTGGAGGGTCCTCCCCTGACTTGATGCAGGAGGCGCAGGTGAGTATCGTCAGCAACTCAGACTGCGGTGCTGCATATGGCAACGGCATGATCACCGATGACATGTTGTGCGCCCAGGGCGTCAACAGCGCTGGGGACGTCACCGACGCCTGCCAAGGGGACAGCGGTGGGCCGCTCGTCTGTGCCTCTGGCGGTGCTGCTTATGTCTTGCACGGGGCCACGTCTTGGGGCTACGGTTGCGCCATGGAGCAGTACCCTGGAGTGTGGTCTCGGGTCAGCTACGTACGCGACTGGATCGACGAGGTTGTGGGGGTGACCGGGTCCCCGACTCCAGCGCCTCCGCCGACTCCAGCACCCCCTCCAACGCCTGCTCCTCAGCACATGTGGGCGGCCGTTGTCGGCCAGTGCACTCTGGATGGCAACTGCGTGCAGAGCGCGAACTATCCACAGAACTACGCTGCAAACCAGGAGTGCACGGTTGAGATCGAAGAGGCGAATGCGGCACCGATCCTCGTTGAGAGCTTCGATGTAGAGGCGTACTACGACTACCTCATGGTCAACGGGAATATGCATTCTGGAACGTCGGGTCCCGATGGGGTCATCCCGACGGGGAGTATGTTTTGGTCGTCCGACTTCAGCGTGCAGAGAAGCGGGTGGAGATTGTGCATGCCAACTTTGGCACCTGCGCCGCCACCTACGCCAGCGCCGCCATCGACGCCAGCGCCGACGGACGCAGCCACGGCCGCGCCGACTGCAGCACCGACAGCAGCACCGACGGCTGCACCAACAGCTGTACCGACAGCAGCCCCGACGGCCTTCCCCACATCTGCACCGACGGCTGCACCAACAGCTGCACCGACAGTAGCCCCGACGGCCTTCCCCACATCTGCACCGACGGCTGCGCCGACTGCGGCTCCGACTGATGCTCCGACAGCACCATCGACAGCTGCTCCTACTGTATCACCAACGCAGGCACCGACGGCTGCATCAACAGATGCTCCAACCCCGTCATCGACCGCTTCTCCAACATCAGCACCGACAGCTGCGCCAACTGCGGCACCGACGCTGGTTCCGAGCCCTCCAGTACCCGCCCCTCAGCACATGTGGGCAGGCATCATCGGCCAGTGCACGCTGTTCGGCTCCTGTGTGCAGAGCGCGAACTATCCACAGAACTACGGTGCAAACGAGGAGTGCACGATCGAGATCGACGAGGCGAACGCGGCACCGATCATCGTCGAGAGCTTCCAGACGCAGCGGAACGCGGACTACCTCATCGTCAACGGAGTGCACTATTCCGGGAGGTCAGGACCCCACGGGGTCGTCCCGACTGGGAGCATCACGTGGTCGTCCAATGCCAGGAGGCAGAGGAACGGCTGGAGGTCAGGGCTCGAGCTAAACTGTGTGTTTTTGGTGATCCCGTGGGCCGTTCTCGTTTTGGCCTCGTTTCGCGGCAAGGGCAGATCGAAGCAAGGACGAAGGAGCACAAAAACAAAACGAACACGCCGAGCACTGCTCAGCTCGAGCCCTGCTGGAGGTTGTGCATGCCCGATTCCCGCGCCCCGCCGCCAGCTCGCCTGCTGGGGGAGGCCGCGGAGCCCGACGCTCCTGCCGGGGCGCCGACGGCGCCGGGCATCCCAGGCAGGATCGCGCAGCAGGGCGGTCCTGCGCCCTCCGCCGAGGCCATGGATCGGCTGCACCTGCCCATCGGTCGTCGGACGTAGGCATTGTTCCGATCTGCACCCAGTCTACTTTCTCGGGGGAGAAAAAGATACGGATACGTGTTGTCCCCCTTCGTTTTCGGCCTCTCCTGGTCCTCCTGGGGAATCCTCGTTGTCACCGCTGGATTCGCCTCGAAATTCTGGTCAGAACGCACCCCAAGAGAGGTCCGGGGACAACACGTATCCGTATCTTTCCGCCCCCCAACAGTCTACTTTCAGCGCCTTCCTGCTCCATGTCTCTGCCTACCTCTTCCGACCGACGGGTAAGACTGACCCTTCTTCACACGGGGTGACCTCTGGTGCGGGCTCATCGATGTCCCCCCGATCGCCGGGCGCGATGCGGTAGAGGCTGCCAGCGCGCCGGGACTTGGCCACCCAGTGCCCCCCTGGCCCGCGCACCAAGGGTCACTCTTGCGCAGGGCCACTCTCGAGAGTAGCCGATGAAGGTGGAAGGCGAAGCGGACATCGAGGCGAGCATAATGCTGGGCATCGTCGATCTGGGCATCGTCGCCGTGGCGGCTGGCGGATCCCTCTGGGCTCTGGGCGCGTGGTGCGTGCTGCAGAGGAGGGCCTGGGCCCCACGCCGTGGCGGCCCGATGGACAGCGACTCCACGAGCCTCTGGAGCATGGAGGTCTACATCGACGTCGGCGGCGAAGCCAGGAAGGACCCCGGCGCTGCGAAGAGGACCGACAGGCTCTGCGAGCAGCAGCCGAGGGAGCTACCCGGGGAGGAGGAGAGCGCCTGCTTGCCTCTGGTGTGAGGCGTTGGAGCCCGCCGTGCCCTCAGGCGGGCCCGGCGAGGCGAACGAGCAGACCCTGACAGTCCTTTGGGGGGGATGCTGAAGGCGCGCAGGTTCAGGTCGGGCCTGTCCCCCTACAGGGGGATTTCGACGAAAAATAGAACATACCCCAAAAATAGTTCAAACATAGTCCAAAAATAGTTTTTTTTTTTTTTTTTTTTTTTTTTGATCTTTTTGTGGCATTTTTTGGTCATTTTTAATTTTTCGTCGAAAATCTCCCTGTAGGGGGACAAGCCCGACATAAGCGTAGGTGGTACTGTGGCTCGCACTGTGCTGGGAATTCGGCCGTGGCGTGTCCAAATGGCCGCGCCACGTTTTTGCGTCCAGCTGTCTCCTCGGCGCGGGGCTGCGCGGGCGAGAGCGTGCAAGAGCCTCCGGGGGTATCCCTTCCCTGGCGCGCCTAAGGAGCGCGCCGCGCTTGTGCACCTGGCCGTCTGTTCGGTGCTGGGCTGCGCGGGCGGCGGGGGGGGCATGAGCCTCTGGGGTTTCTTATCCGCAGAGGGGGCCCGTGCACCACCGCGGTGCCCTGCCAGGGCCATCCTCTGCCCCATGGGGTGCGTGCAGGCCTCCCAGGCTCGGCCAGGAGGTCGCACGCAACACTCACGGGGCGCAGGAGGACCCCTGGCCGCGCACGGTACTGGTGGTGGTGGTGGTGGTGGTGCTGGTGGTGGTGGTGCACGGGTGCCCTCTGCGTTTGCTGTATCCGGATGCGGTCGGCTGGTGGCGGTTCGCGCCCCCAGCGCCGCGCAGGAGTCGCGGGGGGCGCGCGGATGCGTCAGAGTCGTCCGTGTCGGACTTTTTTTTGTGCTCGGCGGGCGGCAGTGGGTATGGCCTCTGGGGCATCCTTTCCCTGGCGCGCCTAAGACGTGTGCCGCGCCTGTGCACCCGGCCGTCTCCTCGGCGCTGGGCTGCGCGGGCGGGGGCGGGCATGAGCCTCCGGGGGTAGCCTCTCACTCGGCGCGACTTCAGGACCGTGCCGCGTTTCTGCATGTGGCCGCCACCTCCACGAGAGAGGTCGCGGCCGGCCGCGTTGCCGTCGACTGGCAGCGGGTCGCGCCCCAGCACCGCGCAGAGTCGCGGGGGGAGGGCTTGATTCAAGAGGACTACGCCATTCTGCCGACCCCCAGACGAAGATGCGTTTTTTTGCTGCTTCCCGTCGTGCGTTTTTGGGGTGCGTTTTTTTGCCATGGTATGTCGACGCGGCTGCCGATTTGGTATGTGTTTTTTGCTGCTTCCCGTCGTGCTGCCAGCCGCGAGCAGCTGCTGCCAATTCGCCTGCCTTCTGTCGTGTGCGCGCGGGGTGTCCCCTGGGTGGGCTTCCTGTGGGCCTCTTGGGGGCATGTTGGGTTTCTTAGGAGTCCTCTTGTGGTCTTCTTAGGAGTCCCTTGGGCATGTTGGGTTTCTTGGATCTTCTTAGGGGTCCCTGGGGGGCCTCTTAGGGGGCCTCCTTGGGTCTCCTGGGAGTCCTCTCGTGGTGGAGGGCTCCTGGGGTCCCCGCGAGCGGCCCCTCCTCGGGCCCCTCCTGGGGCCCTCTTGATGACCCTTTTGGGCCGTCTTTGGGGCCCCTCTGGCCGTCTTGGGTCCCTCTCGGGCCGCCCCCAGGGCCCTCTTAGAGTCCTCTTCGGCCGTCCTGGGCTGGGGATGGGGGGGGGGCCTCTGGTGCCGTTTCGGATTCTCAGAGGCTTGAGACAACGAGAGCGATAAGATCATTCGAACACCTACGGGGGATCGATTGTTTTTGCCTTTTGTGTCCTCTTCTGACCTTCTTGAGGCGTCTTGGGTCGTGTTGGGGCCATCTTGGGTGTTCTTCAGCCCTTTCCAGCGTCAGCGTTGGAGCACCTCAGAGCCATCTTAGAGGGCAGTTCGGGCATCTTGGTGGCCTCGAATGGTGAATTTGGAAGCTCCGAGGCCTCGGAGGTGTGTTAACGAGCTTGTCGCCCCCACCCCCTCTAACAGGATTTGGGACCCCAGGGGAGGGGGGTGGGGGGGAGGGGACAGACAAATGTCTCACACGGAGGCTCACCCCGGACAAGTGGAGGTCGGCGGATTTGCTCAAGTCGTCAACATGTTTCCGTTTTGTTTTTTGCCCGCTGATTCGTCTGGGCGAAGTAGGAGAAGCTGGCCTCGATTGCGTCTGCCTCGAGAAGCTGGCTGAAGATTGCAACGTGGGCCGTTTCCTCATGGAGGACGCCTCTAGCGAGTCACCGCCGCCACGACAGAAAAAACGCTTGTGCGGCCTCACGGTGAGCCAAAGTTTGGCCAAGCTAGTGTACAGTGGTCCCCCCGCCGTTTGCGAACCAATCTGGGGTCAAGTTTCCAAGACTCTTCCTTTCGAGGTTTAGGGTTCCGAGGGATGTGACATGTTGTCTGCGCGTTGTCTCTGCGTGGATGATTACCTGCTCCCGCCTTAAGGCCTAGCGAAGCTAGTTCCCGCTGCTGTCGACCCAACAGCACAATAGTTAGGGTGAGGGCAACGTCCGTGCATCTTTATCGCATGCGCTTCAGTACGTGATCCCCACGATCCGTGTTGAGGCTACAGGGTGCAGACTACGTGCTCTCTGCTGTGCTGCACCCCCGTTGCTCGGCGACATGGATGGGCATCCCATCCCGCGCCTCGCCAGAGTGCCGCGTGAAGGCACAGTGGCGCTTCAGTGGGCGCGCTGGCCGAAGCCGCGGGGGCGGGGGCAGGGTGATGGCGGCCAGGGGTCCGCAATCGCACCCCGGCGTCCACAGCTGGAGCGTGGGAGGAGGCCGGGGGCGAGCGGCCCGAGCTACCTCTTGCCTTGTTATGGTGATCTTGCCGCGCCTGCAGCGGCTGTAGGAACGACGCGGGGCCGTCCCATCAGGCCACGTTCGAGCTGGCAGTCGGACGCCAATGCCTGTTCATCGACGGGGGAAGAGAGCTCAAAGGCTGGCCCCTGCGACCCTCTCTGGGTGAAACATAACGTATGTTGGGAAGTCGGAACTCCCGAGAGCCCTCCTTGCTGTATGCCTCGTGGAGCGCCCAGAAGCATCCAGAAATCTTGTCAGCTGGTCCTGTGTCCTGTGCGGAGCAGTTGCAAGACGCAGGGCTCAGTGTGGAGGAATTTCAGCTCGCACCTCACCAAAGTGCTGCATGAAGGCGCAGTGGCGGTGCAGTGGGGCTCGTTGGCCGAAGCCACGGGGGCAGGGTGACGGCGGCCGGAGAAGCGCTACATTACCTTAGTGTTACGATGCTCCAACCTATTTCAGCCTTGACCACCAGAAAGAATTTCGAGCACCAAGCACGTACCGAAACTTGAGGGCTTTCACGTGTCGGGCACTGGGAGGCGACACTCGTTCGACATAGGGTGCTCGAAATTATTTCTGTGATGTGGTCTTTAAGTACGATGGGAGCAACATAACCCTAGTGTCTTGAGTAGGGGCGTGGGACGAGGAAGGGGGATAGAGTGGGGGTTTGAGCGGCCCGAGCTCCAGTGACCTCTTGCCTTGTCCATGTTGAGTTTCCGTGCCTGCAATGGCTGTATGAGCGACGCGGGGCCGTCTGAGCAGGCCACCTTTGAGCTGGCAGTCGGACGCCAACGCCTGTTCATCGACTGGGGAGGGCATCCCATCTCGCGCTTCGGCAGAGTGCCGCATGAAGGCGTGGCGGAGCAGTAGGCGTGCTGGCCGAAGCCACGGTGGCATGGTGAGGGCAACCAGAACAAGCGCCATTTCGCCTTAGTATTCTCAGCAGGAGCGTGGGAGGAGGAGGGGGATATGGGGCGTGCGCGGCACATGCTCCGGTAACCTCTTGTCTTGGTCTGCGGTTGTGTCGCGCCTGCAACCGCTGCGTGAACGATGTGAGGCCGTCCAACCAGGCCAAAGCTGACCTGATGCTCAGCTGCCAATGCTTGTTCATCGACGGGGATGGGCAGCCCAGCTCGCGACTTACCGACTCGCCTCATGAAGGCACGGTGGCGGTGCAGTGGTGCTCATTGGCCGAAGCCGCCTGCGGGGGCGGTCCGACGGCGGCCAGGGAGCCGACATCGCGCCCGAGCGTCCTAAGCAGGAGTGCGGCGAGGAGGGAAGGGGAATGAGAGGACAACGGAAAACACGGGGACAAGCGGCCTGAGCTCCGAGGACCTCGTGGCTTGTCAGGTTCTTTCTGCCGCGCCTGCAGAGGCTGCATGAGCGACGCAGGGCCGCCCAAGCAGGCCAGAAATGAGCTGACGCACAGATGCCAACGCGTGTTCGCTGACGGGGACGGCCATCCCAGCTCGCACCCCACCAGAGTGCCTCATGGGGGCGCAGCGGTGGTGCAGTGAGGCATGCTGGCCGATGCCGGCGGGGGCAGGGCGATGGGACCTCAGGAACCGCTGTCTCACCGACATCCTGACGTATGGAGCGGTTGGAGTGGAAATGGGGCTAGAAGGGAGTATTGGAGAAAGGATGATGAGCATCCCGAGCTCCCGTGACCTCGTTCCTTGTGAGCTTTGGAGTGCCACGCCCGCAATGCCCGTGTGGGCGACTCTGGGCCGTCCCGGCAGGCAGGTGATAAGCTGATTCGCCAGGGAGGTATGCACCAATCTGGCTGTCCCTGTAGTCTGGGCGTTTTTTGGCGGTGTGACGGATGCCAGTGCCTGTCCACGGACAGTCTCAGGAGCGGCGGGTGCTCTCACGAGGTGGTCTTGCCCCATGGGGGGTGGTGAAGCCCCTGAGCAAAAAAAGACAACGCGTTTTCTGTGTCGCCCTTGTGGCGTATTCCAGCAAGCTCGGGTGAGGTTCTTTTCCGAGGCGATGGCTTCCTTACAGGCGCCCCTTGGTTCCTCCCCGACTGCCCAACAGGAGCCCTGCGCACCTTCGGCACGGGTCCATGACAGGAAAAGGAGGAGGAGGAGGAGGAGGAGGAGGAGGAGGAGGATGAGGAGGAGGAGGAGGAGGAGGAGGAGGAGGAGGGGGGTGGGAGGGGGAGGAGGAGGAGGAGGAGGAGGAGGAGGAGGAGGAGGAGGAGGAGGAGGAGGAGGAGGAGGAGGAGGAGGGGGAGGGAGGGGGAGGGAGGAGACGCACGGCATTGCGGATTCAAACCGGGGACCCAGAACGCAGGAGGGTAGGGAAACAACTCCCAGTGTAATTTTTGGGTTTTTGTGTTTCATATTGCGTGAAGAGGTATTTGTACCACGTCTCGTTTTTATTGTGTCCCCAGAGGCTGCATCTTTGGGTGTAATGCCCCACGAGGTTTTTTCACTGGATGATCTCCGCAACTACTCCTCCTGCCACTGCCTCCATGTTCCGTGGGAATCCCATATCGGTCCTGTACAATGGAAGGTGGTGGCCATTGGTTTTCAGAGTTGTCCCTTATTTCCCCTCTCGTCCCTTCTTCCCCTGCGCTTTTACGATGTGTTAGTTGCTATGATGCCCGTGTCCGTTCAGGAGGGGGAAAACACATACACACATTGTCGTCGATTCCCTGGACAATTACGGGAAAATATAGGAAGTGGGATGGAAAACCAAA